TCATTTGTCTTTGACTTTATTTATGGTAGGTTTTTCTATGCAGAATTTAATTGGAAGTCTAATTTATTCATATTTTCTTTTATGTGTTCTGAGTATTATACTTTAAAAGTCCTCTCCCACCTGAGACATATATATATATATATATATTTTTTTTTCCATCGAGCTTTTAAACATATTTATATCTTTTTATCTATCTGGAATTCATTTTAGTACAAGGTGTGAAACAGGCTTCTAACTTCAATTTTTTTCCCATATGGCCGCCCATTTGTCGTCATACCATTTATTGGATACTCCACTGTTTTCTCCATTGACATGAAATGCAGAATGAAAGGCAGAATTTAGTGGTTGTGAGCTGAAGCTGAGGTACCAGCATTTTCTCTTTGTGAAACCTGTTCTGGCAGAGCCCTTCTGCATGCCACTGAGAGCTGCAAACAAGTCAAACCTGTAAAGAGCTGGAAGCCCACACCCAGAAAATGCATGGATAATGTCTCCAAATTGTAGCTTGAGATGTTGTGAGCACATGATTCTGATATAATTAGTTCTCCATCCCACGCACATTCTCTCCAATATTGTCAAAGGGTGGCAAAGAATAGTCTCATAGTTTTTGGTTGTTTGTTTTGCAGACTGGTGCTATCTCCATTGGATGAAGATCACACCTTAATATTTGCAAATCATCTTGAACTGTGGATAATCATCTTGCAATCCTCATATTATCTTTTAGATTTTCAGAAGGTTGTGATTTCAGCATTCTAGGCTTAACGAAGTTTTACTTAAATTGTATCATTTTATCCATCTGTGCTTAACTAACAGACAGAGCCACTGAGTGTGGAGAATGAGGGCTGAAGCTTTGGGGGATGGAATAGCATTTTCAAATTGGTGATATCATATGAGACCATTATAGGCAGTTCACCTGGCATGTATCTACTAGGCTGCTTTTTAAACAAGGACACACATCTATTTTTCAGTGCTAATAATACTGATAAGGACATGAAGAGGCTGTAAAATCTTGCTGAACTACCTGAAATAGTTTTGAATCATTAAAAGTAATTGTAAGATTTATTGCCGAGGTAAAATGAGGAAACTGAGGCAAGTATAAGAAAATGAGAAGCTAATTTATTCAGTTCCAGGGAGGGGTTCTGTGGTCCAGGGAGGGGACAAAGAAGTCTCGCCGGGTTGTTCAGGTCATGGGGTTTTATGGGGAGGGAAGGTGACTGATTGGCTATTGGGGAAACAAAGCGAAGGCAATTTTATTGGCTGTCAGGAAGCAGGAAACACCTGGAACTAGTTGCCATTGGTAGGGTGGGACTTTGGGTAAGTGGGCTTTGATTGATTGTTGGGGAAACAAAGTGAGGGCAACCTTATTGGCTATTAAGAAGCAGGAAATACCTGGAGCTAGTGGTCATGGGTAGGCGGGCAGGATTTTGGGTAAGTGGGCCTTCCGGGGGCATACAGAGCAGACTGCTACCGGGCAGGGTCTGATGGGGCTTCTTTAAAATTTTTCTGCAGGGTTTTTCAACAGCGGGCTGGGGATTGGATGCATAATTTAGTGCTGAATGTGGGCTTGGGTCTGGTATGCGGAGGCGGGTACGGGGAGGCCATGTGGCGAGGCCAGATAATGAGCTTGGGTGATGATGTAGTTATCAGGTGCGGAGAGAGATGGATGTGTCCCTTTAACGCTCTGCGAGGCAGCCAGCCTTACAGTAATTATAAGAAATTCAACTTACATTTTGAGGCTATTTGACTGTATTTCTTAATGGAAATACTTAGTGTTTAGCAGTTCTTTTAAGACACAAGCAGGGGCTGGGCGCGGTGGCTCAAGCCTGTAATCCCAGCACTTTGGGAGGCCGAGGCGGGTGGATCACGAGGTCAAGAGATCGAGACCATCCTGGTCAACAAGGTGAAACCCCGTCTCTACTAAAAATACAAAAAATTAGCTGGGCATGGTGGCGCGTGCCTGTAATCCCAGCTACTCAGGAGGCTGAGGCAGGTGAATTGCCTGAACCCAGGAGGCGGAGGTTGCGGTGAGCCGTCGCGCCATTGCACTCCAGCCTGGGTAACATGAGTGAAACTCTGTCTCAAAAAAAAAAAAAAAAAAGACACAAGCAGGAGTGCAATCTGGATTCTTCTACTTTTCTGTGAATGATTTTAGCTAGTTACCTAACCTCTGTAAGCCTTAATTTTTTTTATATGTAAAATGATCATAATAATAGTACTTACTATTATAGAGATTAGTGACAATATCTATTTAGAGCATCAGTGCTAAGGCATTTACACTGAATGCTATTAGCAAAGATCAAAAACCTTAAAAATACATTTGTTGGTATGAGTCTGGTGGAGATAGGTACTCTCATACATTGCTTAGGGGAGTATAAATTAGTGTAGCCATTACCTAAGACAGTTGGTAATATTTATCAAAAATTACCACATACTTTATTTTTTGATTAATTAATTAATTTATTTATGAAACAGGGTCTCACTCTGTTGCCCAGGGTGCAGTGCAGAGGCACGGCTCGTTGGAACCTTGACCTCCCGGGCTCAAGTGATCCTCCCATCTCGACCTCCCCCATAGCTGGGACTACAGGCATGTGCCATCACGCCCGCTAATTTTTGTATTTTATATAGAGACAGGGTTTTGCCATGTTGCCCAGGCTTATCTTGAACTCCTGGTTTCAAGAGGTCTGCCCACCTCAGCCTCCCAAAGTGTTGGGATTATAGGCTTGCGCCTCTGTGCTTGGCTCACATACATATTTTACAACCAGCAATTTCTCTTGCTAGAATTTCTCGAACAGATGAGTGAATTGATACCTATATGTGGATATTTATTGTAATACTGTTATGGTAGAGAAGGTATGGAAACAACCTCAATCTCCATTTATAAGGGCTGTTTTGATGGACTTATGCAATCAACTACAGGTTGAGAATCCCTTATCCAAAATTCTTGGGAACAGACATGTTTCAGATCTGAATATTTTTGAATTTTGGAATATTTGCATATACATGATGAGATATCTTGGGACTCAAGTCTAAACACAAAATTCATTTATATTTCATGTATGCTTTATACGGATAGCCTGAAGGTAATTTTATACAATATTTTTAACAGTTCTGTGCATGAAACAAAGTTTTGACTGTGTTTTGACTGCAACCTGTCACATGGGGCAGGCATGGAATTTTCCACTTGTGGTATGTGAGCCCTCAAAAAGTTTTGAATTTAGGAGCATTTCAGATTTCAGATTTTTGGCTTAGAGATACTCAGTGCTGTGGTTTGGAAGTTTATTCCACTAAACCCCATATTGACATTTGATTCCCAATGTTAGAGGTGGGGCCTAATGCAAGGTGTTTGGGCCTGGCAGTGGATCCCTCATGAATGGATTAATCCCCCCAACTTCCCAGGGGGAGGAGTGAATGAATTTTTACTCTCTTGGTTCCCACAACAGCTGGTTGTTAAAAAGGGCCGGGCACCTCCTCTTTCTCTGTTAATCTCTGCACATGTCGGCTCCCCTTCCCATTCTCTATGAGTGGAAGCAGCCCGTGGCCCTTACCATATGCAGATTCACAATCATGAACTTTTTCAGACATCAGAATCATGAGCCAAATAAACCTTTTTTTTTTTGAGACGGAGTTTCACTCTTGTTACCCAGACTGGAGTGCAATGGTGCGATCTCGGCTCACCGCAACCTCTGCCTCCTGGGTTCAGGCAATTCTCCTGCCTCAGCCTCCTGAGAAGCTGGGAATACAGGCACGCGCCACCATGCCCAGCTAATTTTTTGTATTTTTAGTAGAGACGGGGTTTCACCATGTTGACCAGGGTGGTCTTGATCTCTTGACCTCGTGATCCACCCGCCTCGGCTTCCCAAAGTGCTGGGATTACAGGCGTGAGCCACCGCGCCCGGCCAACCTTTTTTTTCTTTGTAAATTACCCAGCCTCTAGGCACGGTGGCTCATGCCTATAATACTAGCATTTTGAGGGGCCAAGGCAGGTGGGTCCTTGAGCCCAGGAGTTCAGGATGAGCCTAGGCAACAAAGTGAGACCCTGTCTCCACAAAAAATGAAAAATAAAGAAATTAGCTACTACTATGATACATGCCCATGGTCCCAGCTACAAGGGAGCCTGAGACAGAAGGACTGCTTGATCCTGGGAGGTAGAGGCTGCAGTGATCCCTGATCATGCCACTGCACTCCAGCTTGAGTGACCTTGTCTCAAAAGAAAAAAAAATTAAATTAAATAAATTACTCAGCTTCAGATTTTTCTTTATAACAACACTAAATAGACTATGACACTCAACTTGAACCACACCAGAAAAAAGAATGAGGAAATATTTATGTGATGACATGGGATATTGTCAAGATATAGTGTTAACTGGAAGAAGCAAAGTATAAAACAGTGCAAAAATGAGAGGCAAGTAGGTGATACATATACATAGACATATTTGCTGTGTAATCACAGAAAATGGTAGCACTAAACTTCTTGAATTTGGGTAGTTGGGTGGCCAAAAAATTTTTCACTGTGTATTCCTTTTCAACTTTTGATTGTACTTGTGAATGTGTAACTTTTTAAAAAATAAAATGGGCTGAGCACAGTGGTGCATGCCATTTTGAGAGGCTGAGGCAGGAGGATCGCTTGAGTTCAGGAGTTCAGGATCAGCCTGAGCAACTCCCAAGGTGAGAGCCCCCCATCTCTGAAAAAAATTTAAATATTAGCCAGGCATTGGGGAACATGCCTGTAGCCCCAGCTATGCAGGAGACTGAGGCAGGAGGATTATTTGAGCCTAGGAGGTCTACGCTATACTTCAGCCTGGGTGACAAAGTGAGACCCTGTCTCTAAAAAATAAGTACATAAATAAAATAAAATAAAACATCTATAAAATATATAGAACACTCATGACACAGAGTAAGCATGCAATAAATGATAACACTTATTTGAAATGTTCACTTAATGATAACAATTATCTTCCACTAAAACAGATATCCGGAGAGCTTCTTCTCCGATAAAACACCAAATGGCGGATGACGCGGGGGAGGGGGGATCGGGGAGTGTGTGTGTGGGGGGCAGAGGCCCCCGTGGGCCCCGGGATGGGGAACTGCGGTGGCTTCCGCGGAGTTTTCAGCAGTGGCATCCGGGCGGGGGTCACCGCCGTGGACGGGACCGGGGCGGAGGCCGAGGAGCTCATGGAGGCAAAGCCGAGCATAAGGAGTGGATGCCTGTCACCAAGCTGGGCCACCTGGTCAAAGACATGAAGATTAAATCTCTGGGGGAGATCTATCTCTTCTCTCTGCCCATCAAGGAATCTGAGATCATCGACTTTTTCCTGGGGGCCTCTCTCAAGAATGAGGTTTTGAAGATTATGCCGTTGCAGAAGCAGACCCGTGCTGGCCTGCGCACCAGGTTCAACGCGTTTGTTGCTATTGGGGACTACAATGGTCATGTCGGTCTGGGTGTTAAGTGTTCCAAGGAGGTGGCCACTGCCATCCGTGGAGCCATCATCCTGGCCAAGCTCTCCATTGTCCCGGTGCACAGAGGCTACTTGGGGAACAAGATTGGCAAGCCCCACACCGTCCCTTGCAAGGTGACAGGCAGCTGTGGCTCTGTGCTGGTGCACCTCATCCCCATGCCCAGGGGCACTGGGATCATCTCAGCACCTGTGCCCAAGAAGCTGCTCATGATGGCTGGTATCGATGACTGCTACACCTCAGCTGGGGGCTGCACTGCCACCTTGGGAAACTTCGCCAAGGCCACCTTTGATGCCATCTCAAAGACTTACAGCTACCTGACCCCTGATGTCTGGAAGGAGACTCTATTCACCAAGCCTTCCTATCAGGAATTCACTGACCACCTCGTCAAGACCCACACCAGAGT